AGAATTACGAAGAAGATCACCTTCCTTTAAAATTCCGCACAAGACTAGAAAAGCATTTGTGTCCATTAGCAATAAATTGAAGCAATTGTTCTCATGAGATTCTCATAAATACGAAACAAATACAGTATCAGTAAAATAACATGTGTGAAATAGAGTCTTGGTATCATGTAGGTATAGTACTACCAAACACAACACAAGGCTGCTACACATGCAACAAAATACCTCACATAGATATCATATATCTCAAATGGATCCATACTGACAATCTAACCTGTATCTCAAGTACATATAAACCAAGAAAAGAAAAGTTATAGTGTAGGCAGTCTAACCTGAATTCCAAAATAGAAGTACATTTCATGATTGAGAAAAAGCCATTTGTATCATCATCATCATCATAGCCCTTTCCCAATTATTTGGGGTCGGCTACACGAATTCTGGTCCATCAATCTGCTCTGCCAAATGTCATACCCTCAATGAGGCCATAAGTCCCCATACCTTTTTGGACTACGTCCAACCACATCCTTTGGGCCCACCTCTTGCCATTTTCAATCCTTCCACTTGAACCAACTCGCACCTCTTAACAGGTGTTGTACAGGGTCGGCACCATACATGACCAAACCACCAAAGTCTAGTCTCTCTCATCTTATCGTCGATTGGTGCCACACCTAAATTTTTCCGAATGACTTCATTTCAAATTCTATCCCTTCCTGTCTTACCACTCATCCATCTGAACATTATCATTACACTCATTCTATGGTTATATTGTTTTTTATCTACCCAACATTCCGCCCTGCAGAGTAAAGCCGGTCTCACAGCTGTCCTATAGAACTTGCCTTTCAGCTTTGTTGGTATGCGTTGACCACATAAAATTCTAGTTGCACATCTCCATTTCGCCCACCCAGCTCTAATTTTGTGTGCGACATCTTCCTCAATCTCCCCATTTTCCTGAATTATCAACCTAAGATATCAAAAGTGCGGTCTCTTTTATACTTCTTGGCTGTCAATCTTAACTACGTTCTCGTCTTTACTCTTATTATTGCTAAACTTGCATTCCATATACTCTGTCTTAGTCTGGCTAATTTTAAAAACTTTGGAATCTAAAGCATCCCTCCAAAGTTCGAACTTTGTGTTGATGTTGTTTCAAGTCTTATCGATCAAAACTATGTCATCTGCGTACAACACTCAACATGGTACCTCATCCTGTAGGTGCCTAATTTTGTTATCCATAACTAAAACAAAGAGGTACAAGCTCAATGCTGACCTTGATGTAGACCTATTGTCACTGAAAACTAACCAGTCTCTTCATTATTTGTTCATATACTAGTTAGCGCTCCATCGTACATATCTCTCTAGTGTCTGGAGACTCCTTTCTTTTTCAAAACCCGCAAATCAAATCAAATCTCGAGGTACTCTATCATATGCTTTCTCTAGATCAATGAAGACCATATGGAGGTCTTTTCCCTTCGTCCTAATTTTCTCAATCAGTTGCCTAAATAGGAAAATAGCCTTGATTGTTGATCTTCTTGGTATAAAACCAAAAAATCCATCTACATAAATCATAAAAAAAATTAGCCAACCACCTAAACCATGAAAAAAAAAACCCCATCCGCATAAAGTATGAAAAAAAAAGCCATCTGCATAAACCATAAAAAAAGCCATTCACATAAACCATGAAAAAAATCCATCAACTTAAACCATAGAAACAAAGCCATCCACATAAACCATAAAAATAAAAAATAAAAAAGAAAATCATCCACATAAACATCCACAAAGACTATATAGAAGAATATCCCACGCATAATCACTAAGTCTAATAAACAACTACAAAGAAGAAAATAAGTCATCTCCCTAGTGTGATATGGATTTAAGATCTACAGTTTTCTAGATTAAAAAACAAGCAACCTACACTCTTGAGGGATATCCGTCTGCAACCACAACTTACGGTGCGGATCAATGAATAGGAATATAGGGCCTTCATAGGATCTACAAATAAGTCAATAGCCCTAATGTAGAACTGCGGATCAATTCCTTCCTTTCTATAAACATCAGACACAACTTCCATGCAGCGTGTTTAGAAGAGGATCGAATGATCCAATGTCCTATCCATTGAGGTCGACAATAACCCAAGTATAAAAGTCAATTATTGTCCTATTGACATAGCCTCTTGCCTCTTAAAAGCACCCACCTCCCCCCATATTGTAGATGACTGACCATGATTACTCTTTTTGTTCTCAGATGAGCGCTTTGCTAGTATCCCCACCAGTGGCATCTAATATTTTCTCTGTGGTCAGCGACTCCTCTTCCACCTCTTGAGGCATCCAATTCAATTCCTCAAGATCTGGCTCGGGCTCATTGTCCCCCATAGTCTTGGATTCCGGTCAGCACCATCCATTATAGAGGGACTTCTATTTCCCTCAGCTATCATGTCCCCAAACACACTGTTCAAATTGGCCAGAGGAGGGAAGCTCTTGCTCTTGTACTTTGATGCCCAATTGTGTCTTTGCGATAAAGCAAAATGAATAAACAGACACAGCTTACATAAAGAATAATTCTAATAAAAAGTAGTATGGGTAGTTTGTACCTCGCAATATTCCTCCCATACTGCCTAAATCCTCAATGGCCGTCCTCCTATCCTCGTTCTAACCGAACCCAAATTCCTCAAGTATTCTTTTAATATAGGAATATAAAGCCTTCAATGTCCACAATCTAATTTTATTATCATTTTATCCAACCCTGTGCCATATTGTTCACACATTACACGTGTAATTCTTGCCCAACCCTCACTAGAAAACACCCCATTCGTCCTCAATTTGTCTTTCACACAACTGACCATTACTTCTAAAAGTTTATAATCTTGTGGAGCCGTCCACTGGTAGTTCCTTCCACCATTATCAGAACTCATACTTAGATAGTCAGCAACATTAATATACCACATAGTCATACATGGCAATCATACAAATGGACCACTTTACATTTACTAAATGCTCGCATATCGTAACATAATATCATTCAATAAGAAGCACACTCTAATCATAGAAGAAACAATGACCATCCATTCACTAAATTCACACTTTGACATAGTACATAGCTTCGCATATAGATGAATTACATTACATTATCTAATATAGAAACCATATTCATAGTTGCTTCCATATACTAATTAGAGATTGAACTACTGACCTAGTACATAAGTTTTTCATGATTACTTCAAATATTTTTTATGAGGATTAGTACAAAAATAAAAGCATTGGTCACATCTAAGAAAAACAAAAATTGTTGCATGTGCCATAATGCATCAACAATTATTACTAAAATAATCCTTTGTTCTCAATTCACAATGACATCTTCTTGTGATTGGTGCGATTGAGTCATTTGTGATACGTTTGTTGCCTCAAGTTTTCACCATAGTTCAACCCTTCAATATAATCATCGCACTAATGAAAAAATGTACATTGTGGACACCTAAAGCACTACCGGGTTTTTTTGGGAACTTGACGATGTAGTATTGCATGGTATGTGGCAATGAGGACATGAATGTCGAGGTAATCATCCATTATTTGTTGAGGCCAATGACATTTTAATGGCACTTAAATTTATATACACTTCAATTTAAAGTTTATCCATATATTTAGTTTAAAGTGGTCAATGAACATGTGAAAGGTCATTGAACAAATGAAATTCAATTTTAAGAAAAGAATCATATGTTGTCACATTATAAGAATTGAGACGTGCTAAGAAGTGGACCATAAGATGGTAACATAAGCAACTCCCAATCCCACAAGCATGAGCTACTAGATACTTAAAAAAATGGCCTAGAAGTGTAAAAAGAAACCTCATGCAGAAAATATGCAATTCTCAATTTATCAAGGCTAGAAAAATGATCAAGACATTAATAGAAATCAACAACAACTTGTTTTCATTGGTTTGGTTTGAAAGTGTTAACTGATATACTATCATGTGTATGTTTTCATCCAAATGACTTGCATAAGGTATCAATTGAACAAATATTAGAAGAATTGAGTCCACGTGCTAAGAAGAGGACCATAAGAATGGTAGCATAAACAACTCCCAACCCCCATAAACATGAGCCACTAGATGCCTAAAAAAATTGCCTAGAAGTGTGTAAAGAAACGTCATGCAAAAATTATGCAGAAACATTTGTGATGTATTGGTGTCATTGTAATTTCGCCAGCATTCAAATAGAGAAATAGCTCCACAGAGTGATATAGATATAGTTTTATAATAAATTGAAAATGTGATTCGATCAAGCTCCATGCAACCAAAACTGTCAAACCAGTTTTCACATGTATTTCCACATGTTCCATAGAGAAAAACCTAACCTAGTTATAATTGTGATCAACACCATTAGCCTCGGCACGATTCATTTGGACCAACATGTCCTCAATAGAGTGAGAAAACAAAGGAACACAGAGAAGAGTTGTGTTTTCCACAGTCATTTTGACAAAATTGTGGGTTTTAGGTTCATTTTGAAACATAAAAATAAAAGAAAACCCAAAAAAAACAGAATTTCTTCTGGGCGGCCTGCCACCTAGCTCAAAAGGCTGGTTTTCTACCATTTTTTCTTTGCACTTTGATTTAGGCTGAGTACCCAATCAATTTTACCATTAATCAGAGAAGAGATGGGATTCAAACCCAAAATAAATATATAAATAAGAACCCAAAGAACAAGCAGCCTAGTGCTGGATTCATCCAACGATTAAATCCATTGATTTCGGAGCTTGTGTAAACTAGTCCAAAACATGAATGTAGACAAGGATTCAGTAGTTTGAGTTTCTGATAACCTAAGATCAAAGAAAATCATAACAAAAGACAGCTTTTGCGGCGCCTTACAGCTAGATTTAGAACATGAAAAACCAGAATTTTTTTTAAAGAGTTTAATAGAAAATCCCTAAGAACAGTGGTGTCGCTGATGATTCTTTTTGTTTGAGAAAACCTAAATCAGTAAAAAAAAATAGAAAATCAGCAAGGAGCTCACTCACTGATGATTCTTGTTGGGTCCTAGCTTCAACACAAGGCCGTGAACAGTGGTTTCGTTGAGAAGGAGAGTGGTTGTGCATAGCTGGGAAGAGAGAGCTCAGCGGCTTAAGACTTCCACACCCCTACTCCATGGGCAGCCACCTTCCTTAAGAGGAACAGTACAAGGGGTAGTGCCGAAAACTTCCACACCCCCGCTATAGGCAGGCACTTTCCTTAAGAGGAACAGTGCAAGGGCTAAAGTGATGTTTCGACTTTCACAAGTTTTCAAACGCATAAAGGTTGAATGTCCGATACTTCCCCCCCATTTATTTCGCGGTTATCAAACGAAGCCTTCAGCTTCGTCTATTCAAATACCCAACGGAAAAAAATAAATTTTTTTTTTTTTTTTTAACCAAAATACCTTTCTCGTACACAAAACTTATTTGGGCCAATTTGACGTTGAGTTTCGGATAATATTACTCTATCTCACAACTGTCGGACAACCCTAAGACAACTATTGGACCGAAATTGAGTACTACTGTTACATCGCCTGTTACATAGTGTCGTAATCTTGGAATCTAGTAAAATCTATTGGACCACGCTTTGCAACTGTTCGACCACCTTTTATATATTGTCATAGTCCTGGAATCCAGTAATATCTACCAGACCACGCTTTGCAACTGCCAGATTGCACTTTACACAGTGCCGGAACCAAACTGCCGGACCGCACTTTACACAGTGTCGGAGCGCTACTGATCACCATCAAGTCAATACGTTGGTGTAGATCCGGGGATAATCTTTTGTTCGACAGCCTTGGAGCTATTTACAACTAGCCAATTCATAATTCTATTAACAGTGCATCAAGGATGCATTCATCAATTCTCTCGAGAGGTCACAATTACCGCGGGTAGACATCTTAATGACAAGGAAGACATTACTAATACTTGTTCCGCTATTTTGCCCATGCCTGACTGAAGAAGAGTTAGGGGGAGTAAAACATAAATATGCTGATTCGGAACAGGAATATTATATGCAATGATTAACGATAAAATTATCTCACTGTCGAAGCCCCTATTTTGGTGGGATAGAGATTAACTATAAAATTATCTCACTGTCGGAGGCCCTATTTTGGTGGGATATAAAGAGAGTGGATAAAGTAAAAGTAAAGGCCGGTAGGTTAGGTATTTTTTTATTTTTTATTTAGTTAAGGAGTAATTGTATAGAAATTGTATTTTGAGAAAAAAAGTGAAAAAAAAAATTAGTAGGGGTTTTTGTAATTTTTTCTATAAATAACCTTTCTATATATACCTTTTCCAAATTTCCGTAATATCACACAGATACATGCCGTATCTGAAGTTCTAAACAAAGTTCCACACTTGGCGATCGATTGAACCGATAGAATTCTAAGACGCATTTAAAATGTCGAAGTTAACGCTTCGGGGTTTATCTCCACACGATTGCTATCCACCATCTCCTCTCTCTCTCTCTACAACTTACTTTTCCACATTCAAAATAACTCTCTCTCTCTCCCGCCATGATCAAAGCCGCCCACCTCAGCCCCCGCTGCTTCTTCACTCCGTATCCAATTTGCCCCCTTAAGGTCATTAACCATTACTTCTCTCTCTAACATGGTGGCATCCATATTGGTTGGATAAGTAGCTTGGTTCTGCATTTTTTTTCTTTTTGGGTTTAAATCAAAGATTGTAGGCGCTGAGTAGCAATGCTAATTTTGGTAACATGAGTGGGTTCTACTGCTGATGGTCTTTTCTCTGCAATTTATGTTTTGTATTCTTCGTCGTCGAGTACAACTGAATGCAAATCTGTATGCCTTAGATTGAGTTTATAGTTAATTAACTAAATTTTGGGTCGTTTTAAATGTGTTGGCTGCTCAATAATACTTAATTCTCTTCTGCAATATTGCTAGTAAGTATGGATAACTTCGGATTCTTCATTTTCTGCTCGGTTCTTGGATGGTTTCTTTTATTATTTGATCGGTGCCTGTACTTTCTGTAAAAAAATAATGATAGGAAGTGTATTTGTTTTCCATATAGTTTCTTTATTCAATTGAATTGCTAGTTAGTTACAGATTTTGAAATTCTGTACTTGGTCATGTTCGAGCCCATTGCTCAACTGGAAGTTGTTCATGGTTGCAAGCTCGAGGTTTGGATTTGGAACCCATCTAGCTTACCCCAAAAAAAGTTCTTGTTTTTAGCACCAATAGTTTTCTCTTTGTTTGTTTTCTAATTTTGCCCACCCATTGCCAATAAGTTGTTCAAAATCTTATTAGCAGTTCAAGGTTCCTTCAAAATGCTTGCTCTCTTGAGAACATGTTTTGGCAACAACTAAATACTCTTGGAAACTTGGGCTCTTTGTAATTTTGTTCTAATGTTGTGGAAAATATGTATTGTTTCATCAGTTCCTGGATGCTGTGAGGTGGTATTTTGTCTATCTATTGACTGGCATTGATTAGTTTCTATGAAATAGGTTTCTCATCCGAATCTGTTATGGCATCACCAGTGTGCCCATCCTGTCCATTGGTGCCGAGAGCGGGCAGGAGAGCCATTAAACAAAATAGAATTAAGGTTCAATCCTGCTGGCCCAATCATCCTGTCCCATGGACTGGATTCTCACAAAGGGCTCATAAGTACAATAATCAACTAGAGCCTGTGAATTTCTATCCTAATTCAGTTGAGACTACAGAGATCATAACTTCTTCAAAGCTTAACAAAGCATGCTTTGGGAGGAATTATGAGGTAATTCGTGGATTATGATTTACTATGAGATATACTTTCATTCTGATGATTCAATGTTGCTTTTATACGACTAAAAACTGGGGAAGAAAATTCACAGGTAGACAAAGGGAAACAGAGATTCATGTACAAGTTATTCTGCGATGGAACAAAGTGGTTGAGACACACAGAGGTTACTATAGCAGCTGGTTTTGTGGCATTTGTGCTCTTATGCGCTCCATCTGCTGATGCTGTTGATGCTCTCAAGACATGTGCTTGTCTCCTGAAAGAATGCAGGTATGCAATTTGTTCATCTAGTATATGGGGCTCTTTTTCTTTAAGTTGTTTCATTATTTTGCTTAATGATTTCAACATTGCATCCCATATTGGACTCATCAGTGAGGAAAGATTCATCAAATTCCATTATGCTCAAGGATGGACATTTGCAGAGGTCAATGAGATTTTGTCAAAATATTTTCATTTTGAATTTATATATATAATTTATTTGTGGGTGTGGTTTGCATAAGGTTGCAACCTTAAACAATTAAAGTAAGGTGCACCACAAAACTTTGTCATGAGATGCAATCTGGGTGTCGAAAATTCTTAGGATGGTCTAGATAATGTGTTACAAGATGTACTATTTTTAGAACTTTAAATCTCTTTTTTTCTCCATATCTATACATCTCCATGTCCAGATGATTAGTTAGATTTTTTTCCAATATCATAACAACCATTTGCAAAGAATTTTAGAGGTACACCATAGTTCAACATTTGAAGGTGTCAATCTTATACAAACTTTTTCTTTTATTTATTTCATGGGGAAGCAATTGCCCTCTTTGATGGTTGGGCTTACGAGGAATGGAATGTAGCCCTGTGATTTTATGCTACCTTAAAGGCTGCCTCATAAATAATTGTATGTTCTTTTAGTCCTATTTCTTTGGTTAATTTATGGATATGCGAGTATTGAGCCTGGCATCTCATTTGGTACTGCCTACACTATAGAAGTCGAGATACTGTTAATATATGGGAGAAGGAACTGCGAATTTACATTTCCATATTATTTATATCATGTGTTGAGGTTGTCCTCATAGTGGCCGGGGGTACTCATGTCCTTCTATACCCAAAGGGTATTTGTTCAATAATTTATATGTATATTGTCATTATTCCCTGATTCTTAGTCTTTAGAAATAATATATGATTCACTGATTTTGAAAAACAGTGCATGTCTTCGAGAAGAGTGCACATGCCCTAGGGATTTTGAAGAGCATGTCTGGGGGTTTCGAAAGGTATGTGTTTGTGGATAATGGGATTTTGTAATGAGCCTCCTTTTAAAATCTAGCATTCTTGCTACTAGATAGGAGCACATGTCTGTGTCAAACCTTTGATTATTGAATCCCACATAGGATTTCCTTTCAACCATAAAAAGATCTTCACTGTGTGCAGGTGACGTCGTAGTTAACAAAATAAAATAAAATCTCCACTGAGTGGTCAAAATATTACCTTCTTTGGATCTGGTGACTACAGCACAAAAGGAGGAAAGAAAGAGATTAACACTGATCAAAGAAAGGGAGAGTGAATCTACTTTTTCATCTATCCCTGTATCATGCAAGCAGAAGTCTAACAACACCAACTTGGGGACTCAAGTTTGAGTCGCCCCAGACAGGTAGATATTATTGTCTTCAAGAGCCAAGTTTAGATGGGAAGCTCTAGTTTTTCTTCTGGGAAAACAGTGCCCCATACTGAATTACTGAATTCCGGAACAGTCCAGCTTCCTCTTTGAAGATTGCAATCATATTGCATTTTCTAACACAAACTATATGTGACTTTTAATGCTTTTGTAACAGCCAAGCTTCAGAACTGAAGTATGCTTATTGAGACAAGTGATAATGGGTGTGCTAGCGATGGGATATATTGATGTATGATTAAGGAGTGTTGAGTTTTCACAGATGTAACTATTCAGTAAATTTTGGGACCTCATGGGCTACGATATCCAAGCTCTCTTCATGGAGTTTCACAATAGAGGTAGGATCCATACGGCCATGAATACCACCTTCCTGGTATTTGTCCCAAAAACTGAGGAAGCTGAAGAATTTAAAGACTATAGACCAATCAGTCTCCTAAACAGATCTTACAAGCTCCTAGCCAAGGTCCTAGTTTTCCTTCTTAGCAGAGGTCCCAAACTTGGTCATTTCTCCAAGCCACGGTGCTCTTGTTAAGGATAGGTAAATATTAAATGGGGCCTTTGTAGCTCATGAAAGCATACATTCTTGACACCTTCCAAAATCCCCTGTGGTTGTAGTGAAATTAGATTTTGAGAGAGCCTATGACAATGTGATGAGATTTTGTATAAGATGGGCTTTGGTTCTAAATGGAAACTTTTTATGGATGAAAAAGTACATCTCTGCCCCTTGGTTCTCAATTTTTATTAATTGAACCCTGAAGGATTTCTTTCATTCCTCAAGGGATCTACAACAAGGAGATCATCTGTCCACTTTCCTCTTTGCCATTGTGGTTGATGTGTTCAACAGAACTATGGATAGATTATTCCAACATAGCTCTTTGGAAGGCTTCAAAGTCGGTAACCAGGGGCTGGTAATATTGCTCTTGCAATACGGCAATGACACCCCAATATTTTGCGGCGCTTCCCCTATTGCAAATGGACACTTAGTAGCTTCACATTAGATGTCTTGGGTTGGGCGCAGGACTCAAGGTAAACATGACTAAATCCAGAAGTATGGGGGTCACTTTTGATTTTCAGAGAACGGAACCTTACCAAATAGGCTTACTTTTGTTGTTGGAAAGTTAACAGTTAAAAAATAAAATAAAACAAAGCAAATAGGCTTGGATGTGGCATTGAACCCCTGTCCCTTAAATACCTAGGCCTACCTTTGTTTGTTGGCAAACCCAAGAAACAACTGTGGAACATTAACATTAGCAAATACTGTAGAGGTTTGATAGAAAACTTGCTGCTTGGAAAGGTAGGTTCTTATCTTTAGCAGATCGTGTTATCATGATTGAAGCCACCCTTTCTAACCCACCAGTTTATTAAATGTTCCTTTTTCATGTGTCCGCATCCATAGCTTTCTGTCTAGAGATAAATTTTCTTGGTTGGGATCAGGGGACAGCCACAAGTTCCATCTCATCACCTGGAATACCATTTGTTTCCCAAATCAAAGGTTGGCATCAGTATCCATAATCTTAGGCACTGTAATATCACTATTCTGGGGAAGTGGTGGTGGCACTTCACCACACAGGAAAGCCACTTGTGGTTCAGGCCATGGTGAGACAAAAATATCACATTGAAGCATTTGCTTGCCTACCTCTGTGCGACCATAAGATCCTCAGAAGCCTGGTGCTCTATCATGGCTGGTGTTGACCCCTCTAAGGCAAACATTAGGTTTCGAGCTAGGAAGGGTGATAGGATTAAATTCTGGTCTGACCTTTGGATCGGTGATACCCCCTTCCAAACAACATTTCAATCCCCCTTCCTTCTGTCCAACAATCACAAAGTCACGATTGTCCAATCTTTTGAATCCTTAGAGGAGTCAAAAGTATGGTGCCCTAATTTTAGAAGAGCTAAAAAAGATTTTGAAATTTCTGATTTCGCATCTCTTACAGCCTACACAAATCACATACCTCCCCGCTGTTGGGCCAGATAAGACGATTTGGTCCCCATCCACCTAAGGTGTATTCACACTGCCCTCATTCTATGTATTGTGCATCACCCACCCCCTGTAACCATTGCAAGGAGAGCTTGGCTGCATCTGATCCCACCAAAAATCCAAACTTCTGGCTGGATTCTGACCCTCAAGAAAGCCTCCAGTTGATCACCTACAGCAAAGAGGCATGCCTATTCCTAATTGATGTATAATATGTAAATCAACAAAGGAACCTCATGGAGAGACTTACTAGAAAGCTTTCATTGACCTTGAGTTTTATCACAAACACTGGTGCAACTATTCCAAGCCTTCTATGCCTCCTTACGCAGCAGCAGGTATTTTCCGATGGTGCGCTTAAATGGCAGCTATTATTAGGACCCTTTGGACAGAAAGAAGTGTCATAGTTTTCAAGGGAGGGAGACTGCTGTGAGATTCTTAATGGATCGTATAAACCATTGTGATACACTGGGCCAAAAATCAGCAAATCCTTAAATGCTTCACCACCACATATTTCCTAAACAATTGGCAGGCCATGTTTAGAAATTGAGACCTGCCCATATCTCCTCTTCTCTTTGGAGACCCCCGATACTGACAAAATAAAACTGAACTTCGGTAGTTGCTGTCTTGGCAACCCAGGTCCAGCCGGCTTTGGTGGCCTATTTAGGGACCACAACCACAATACCCTCCTCTCTTAATCGGGCTACATCAGGCATGTTTATTCCACCATGGCTGAAGCTTTCATTCTGTTTGGGGGCACTAAGAGATACAATCAGGAATCGGGGGGAGATTTTGGTCATCAATGGATAATCAAAGAATGTCATAGTTTGGGCCTTGGGGGCCTCTGCCTGCTGGTGGCAACTTGAACATATTTTGAGCAAATCTCTCATGTATGCAGGCTTATTCACACCTACTTTCGGCACACATGGATAGAGACAGACTTTAGATAGATTCTCTTGCCAAGGCAGGAGAGTGTTCAGGAGACAACAACAGAAACATTTTGGGTTTATTGTACTTAAGGATTTCACTTTGTACAGTGTAATTATCTCTCACAGATATACAAGGTCAACATTTCAGGGGGCCAAAAAAATAGATGTATCGACATTTCTTAATTTCCACATGATCGATCAATACTAGTGCTGCTAAGCCTTTGCAGTTCCATATTCTTTTATCATGTATCCAGACCTGTCAGTAGATTTCTATGATCACCTGTTTATTCACATAACAGGTTAGAGCAGATTACCTAATGTTGTACAGGGTTTGTGAGTTCCAGATTCCAAGATAGAGAAAGACTAAGATATCATATACAACCATGGAAAGAAATATATTTGTGTGTAATTTAGTGCCTACAAAGTGATTTGCCCACTTTATTTGATGGATGGAAATCATGTATCAAAGAAATGCTTATTCTAGGGCTCGAAATCATTGATCTATGCTGGAGTTGATAGGAAAAATTGTAGTCTTTGGCATTTGGCCATTTATGTCTTGTTTCTACTATTTTATCATGAAATAGAAGTTTAGTAACTTCATTAGAGTTTTTTCATGTTTCGTGATGAACAATAGTCAGCTCTTTTTCCATAAAAATAACTTTTAATTGGACTATGTGACTTATAATGCATTAAAGACAAGATTTATAGATTGGGGTTTGATTACTTATTATTATCAAAGATGTTCGAAAAAGAAAATCACAAAAAATAGAAAGAAATATGTTTCCCGCAACATATTTCCTGGCATGTTCAATTTGAGTGTACTGTTGATTTTCTCTTTCTATGCTTTTCCTGAGTTTTTGGGATTAGATGTAGTCTATGCTTATATCACTTGGAGGGGCTGCTTTTCTAAACTGGTGAACGAAATGGATAGGTCTTCCTTTCTGTTCATTGCATCTTTTATGTTCTAGTGGATTTATGAGATCACGGATTTCTTGATACAGGTTTGAGTTGGCAAAGTGTATCGCAAACCCAAATTGTGCAGCCAATGTTGCATGTCTCCAGACCTGTAACAATCGACCCGATGAGACAGAATGCCAGGTGAGCTGCCGGGGTCATGGAAGAAATAGTGAAATTCTTGTGTGACTTCTTTTCCCCTCTTGGTTTTTATTTTTTGATAAGTAAGAAGCTAACGTGATAGTTGCCTATTACTTACTGGAAATGTGAACCTCCTATAGAAACCGTGCACTTTTGCAGATTAAATGTGGGGATCTGTTTGAGAACAGTATTGTGGACGAATTCAATGAGTGTGCAGTCTCTCGAAAGAAATGTGTTCCTCAGAAGTCTGATGTTGGGGATTTTCCTGTCCCTGATCCTACAGCTCTTGTTCAGAGATTTAGTATGGCTGATTTTAGTGGGAAGTGGTATATCAGCAGTGGTTTGAACCCGTCATTTGATACTTTTGATTGTCAATTGCATGAATTTCACCTTGAATCAAACAAACTCGTTGGGAACTTGTCGTGGCGCATACGAACCCCAGATACTGGATTTATCACTCGTTCTGCTGTGCAAAGATTTGTGCAGGATCCCGTGCAGCCTGGAGTGCTTTACAACCATGACAATGAGTATCTTCATTACCAAGATGATTGGTCTCTCTCTCTCTCTCTCTCTCTCTCTCTCTCTCTCTCATGACAAACAATAGGAGCCAGTTTGGTGTGATCCCTTATTTATACATAGGTCTGCATCTATGCCCCAATTATTTAAAGGGATTGTCTATAATGAGACCATTTATTTTTGGTACAAGATCACAACTTTTCTTAGTCATTGGATGTGAAATCTAACATATTAAAATATATCACAGCTTTCGAGAAAATTTGTTTTGGACTTTGTGCTCAATTAGTGATGCATCACGACCCATCTGATTTCAAATCCAACGGTTGACAATGATAGTGACCTTTTTTTATCAAAAGTAAATAGGTGCATCATATACATTTCCTTATTTAAAATAGTAAAAGGCATTGTTCTATCTGCCCCAGCTATTCATAGTCATGTTTCTCTGGGCCGCTTGAAAAGCGCCCATTTCTCTGCCTCACCTACCTGAAAGAAAAACTTTTCTCATTATGAACAACACCATCCATCTTACAAGAATCTGGCCCTAATTGCATTATCAACAGTTTTGATCTCTCTCTCCCACCCTCCCCCCCTCCCCCGCACCCTCAAACATGCACAAATGCCTGCACTCCTAACACAGGTTGCTGCTTTCTTTAGGCAAAGGCTTTTATAGTCCCAGTAAGCATCTGCATGTCACGGGATAATCACACCATGGGTCTAACAGGGAAACCTTTTCGATGATGTTGCAGGTATATCCTGTCCTCCAAGACAGAAAATGCACATGATGACTACATATTTGTCTATTATCGAGGCAGGAACGATGCATGGGATGGTTATGGAGGTGCTGTTGTCTATACCAGGAGCCCAGTCCTACCCGAGAGCATTGTTCCTGAGCTAGAAAAGGCATCAAGGAGGGTAGGCATCGACTTTAACCAGTTCAAAAGAACGGACAACACTTGTGGACCCGAACTACCTCTTGTGGAAAGGATAGAGAAAACAGTGGAGGAAGGAGAGAGAACCATCATAAGAGAGGTGGAAGAGATTGAAGGTGAAGTCAACCAAGTGGGGAAGACTGAGATGACATTGTTTCAGAGGCTGGTAGAGGGATTTAAGGAACTGAAACAGGATGAGGAGAACTTGTTGAGAGAGTTGAATGAGGAGGAGATGGAAGTTCTTGATCAACTCAAGATGGAAGCAAATGAAGTAGAGAAACTTTTTGGGAGAGCACTGCCACTGAGAAAGCTTAGGTAGTGTGTGCTTTTTTATTTATTTATTTAACAATCAATTGTTGGGGCCATTTATTTTGTTTGGAATGTAAGCTCGGGTCTCCTTGTTTTCATTCTGCTTGTATACGTCGCTTATTCTTTTCTCTAATTGATTGTTGTAAAAGCTCAAAAAAAATTGAGTTGAAATCAAGTTACCTTCCTTCTTAGAATTTTAATATAAGCTGGACATTAGAAATGAGGGACTTTTTTTTAGGTAGATCAATGGGAAATATATACCCTAACCTGTTTTAGAAATAGTTTGTGATTTTCGAATGCATAAGTGAGAATGAAAACCTAGACTAGTAGCTGAGGGATTAGGTGGTGTTGCCACCACGGCCTCAACCCCATTCCAAAAAATGAGGGACTAATTTGGCCTCCCATGTCTTTAGTAATACATACCAAAACTTTGTGTGCCAAGTATACAAAAAGGACATTTACCCTTGGTACAAGGAGTTATATTTATTATAGTCCGACAAATTTCAAATTGGATGGTTGTAAGTATCATTGAGTAGACTCAAAAGTAAAAAAAAAAAAATCAATCCTGAAATTCATGACACGTCTCAAGGCATTCAATTTGTCAATAGCTTCTAATACTAGGTTGGGTTCAGCGTGTAAAATTGCTTAATTAATTATGGGGTGCGGTTTCTATAAGGTTGCAACCTTAAACAATCCAATTAAGGCACACCTTAAAATTTTATCATAACATGTAATTTTGTTTGTAAAAAATTCTTAGTATTATCTTAAAATCTATTTTCATACCTAATTAGAAAATTTTAAAATCCAAAAATGGTTAAAAACAAGTAGATCTATAAATATATGAAAATCTTGAAAATGGACGTTCTAGATAATGTGTAGCAAGATGGGCTATTTCTGGGACTCAAAAACATTTTTTTTTTTTTCATATTCATATATCTCGATGTCGAGATGATCGATTAGATGATTTTTTCAACATTAAAAAAACATTTTCGATAGATTTTTGAGGTGCATCTCTGATTCTACATTTTAAGGTTGCAACCTTATTCAAACTTTTCCCTTAATTATAATAACATATAGGTCAACAAAAGCGTGAGGTTTGTATAAGGTGTCAACCTTATACTATTGAAATAAGGTGCACCTCAAAACTATGTCAAAAATGCAATTTTGGTGCTGCAAAGTCTTGTGATGATATGAAAATTTATTGCTACTTTCAATTATGAAATTTAAAGTTTTAGAAATGGTGCCGATTAAGCTGATTTATGAACACTTGAAAATCTTGAAAATAGACGACTCATATAATGTGGTAGAAGATTAACTGTTTTTACGACTACAAATCTTTTTTTTTTTTCGATATCTATGAATAATGGATTTGAGGGATTTACAGCATAGGAAAAATCTTCTAAGATGATTTTTTTGGGTGCACCTTATATAACTGTTATTATTATTATATGTGACATTTAAGAGATGGATTTTCCTATAAATAAAGGGACATGTAAACAGACAAAGTTGCACACTTACCACACTAACAAAAGAGTGGAGGCAAATGAACCTCACATATATTATAATATTATTTTCTCTTGCCTTTGCAAAAATAAGAAAGATAAAATTGCGCGATTTCCACAGTAAAATGAACTAGTGATAGAAAGCGGACCTCGCATATAATCTAATATTACTATATATCATTTTCAGATTAATATATATTATTAGAATAATTGTTTCATGCGAACTGGTCTGCATTTATCTAAATATGCGGTCTAGAGGTATAAAGCATCGATCTTAAAGATCGATGCAAATAGGTGGTCCATCTAAAAATAATGGTAACTAACTGCTCAAAGGGTTTTTATTTCTAGTTTGCAAAATTTATTTATTTATTCATATTCATGATCTCTATGTTAAAGAATATATATTCTCTAAAAATTAAGATCAAATTATATTTAAAAAATATATTTATTGCCAATCCCGTATTTGTACATGTACAGGCTTGGGCACATGCTAACTGTGTCCATATTATCATGGGAAAAAGTTTATCCAAGGTTGACACCTTAAAATGAAAAATTAAGGTGCACCTCTAAAATTCTTCAAAAGAAGTTGTTTTGATGTTGGAAAAATATCTAATTGATTATCTCGACATTGAGATTTCTAGATATAAAAAAAAAAAGAGATTTCAAATCCTAAAAACAGTACATCTTGCAACACATTATCTGGGGATCGTTCATTTTAAAGATTTTCATGAGTTCATAAATATGCTTAATTTGAACCATTTTTGTAATTCGAAATTTTATAATTACAGAAAAAATATATTCACCATCCTAAAAAAACGTTATACCAAAACTACATCTCATGACAAAGTTTGGAGGTACACCTTTGATGGTTTAAACTTTAAAGTCTCAACTTTATGTAAATCACACCCTAATTATTATAAATTATACTATGAACATGCAAACATGCAAATATTTTGCTTTGACTCTTGGGCGCATGTTCTGTCAACAAGGTTTTTGGAAGAGGGAGAAATAGCAATTTGCTCCTGTAAGAGCACCAAATCATTTGGTCTACTACAATGGCCAAACATATATGAATATAAGGTGTGGGAAATATTTAGGCGGTGGGTGGTGCATTATATATTAATAGATAGAAAATAGAATTTAGTATTCAAAATTAGGAACCTCCTCAAAGTAGTGACCAATTTTGCTAAAAAAAAATATCTATACACATTATATATACACCTAAAAGATGTCCTAAAATGAAAAAGAGACTCTCTAATTTTAGCATAGGTAGATAAAAATGCTTACAAGCTTTACTTCTAAATTAAAAAAAAAAACAGTCATGGGTCATTTTGAAGTACCTACAAATAAGGACACGGAACATTTTTCTTTTTCAGAAAGAAAAACTCAAGATTTATGATTTTAGTAACCCCAAAATTTAGATCCAAAACCCATCCATAAGGTGTTTTGAAATGGGAGACGCACATCAATAGTTGAGTTGGCCAACTCACCATATACTTTTCCAATATTTAAACCAAAGGAGGACTCCTCTTAAATAGGTCTCTTACTTGAAATATTAAATACCATGGGATCACATGAAACGCTTTTCCCCTATTTCTTGGTCTAAAATTTGGCCGGAACTTCTCTCAGTTTTTATACCTTAGGCCCCTGTGCTCACCATTGTAAGATGAAGAGTTGAAAATAAATGTCCATACATAAAAATTACAAGTAAAGTTATTCACATGACCATAATTTTAATTCCACAAAAGTTAATAAAATCTGTATATCTCAAAATGCAACAAGAAAAGATCTAAAATTTTGAAGAAAAATGCCCAATAATAAAAAATTCACATAATAGACAAAACTCTCTATGAACAGAAAAAAAACAATCAGCACAATGTAACTCGAAATCACCCAAAAATAAGCCAAATAAGAGAAGGAAAGCCAGAGAGAGAGAGAGAGATTGCATGTTATAATGAAAAGTGAAACATTGTGATTCGCAGGTGAGTTCAATGTAATGCCAATAGTAGACATTGAAGTGCTATTTATTGTCTATAAAGTAAGGTCATTTCTTATCATTTATAAATCTTAAAAATAATTATTCATGTTTTATAGACATTTATGAATTATGATACACGTAACAAATGCTATTAGTGAAAGATGATCTCGCAATTCCTTAAAAAATTTATAATGCATAAAAACAAATCATTTTAGTTTTTCAATTATCCTATTATAAGCTAATGAATTCGAGCTTTAATGGAGTTATGAAGAAGATGTGTCCATAACCATTAGCCTCTGTGCAAGTGGCTTGAAATGATGAGATAAAGATCTTATATAATTGAGGTTAAACACTGATTGATTGTTTCTTTGAAGTTCCTTTTTCTTTTCTTTTTTCTTTTTCTTACAAAATAAATGAAGATTACACTAAATTTGTATGCTAGATCTGGAATCTGTATTCAATTTGTTGATGACTCACATGTTGGAGTCAAAGCATTTAAACCAGTAAGAAGTGAAGTATACTTTAATTTCAGATTGTAGTTTAAAAAACATTGGTAGAATTTGAACTATTTATCATGAAATTTGTGGTTTCTTTATATTTTCATTTTACATTTCAAATGCTCCTTACATTATATTAGGTCTCATAAATTGACGACGAATTAACCCAATGTTTGAACGCATATTTTTGTCTTGTCATGCTCTTAAAAACACAAGTGTCAAGCACGTGTATTTTGTTAGAAACAAAGATAACTCGCAGACCATCATCATCATCCAAGCCTTATCCCAATTATTTGGGATTGGCTACGTGAATCCTATTACTCCATTCTTTTCTATCTAGTCATACCCTTAGTAAGATCAAAACAACATATATTTTCTCATTGCTTCTATCCAATGTTTAAAAAAATGGCGAGACGCAACAGACTCGTCCAAGTCGACAAGGGAATCGATCACCCCATGTTGATTCCAGTAAAACATGTTGAGTCGCCCGGTTCTTGCTCGGTTCTAGAGAAGAACCGGCAATTCTCTACAGTGAACCGCCTGAGTCACTGTTCAAGAATCAATGAACAATGTAAAGCATGAAAAATCATCACATTTTAGATTTTTTTGATCAAGGATCTTGTAGGCTTTAGATTAAATCTTGCAGCCTTTGGATCTCACTTTTCAGCCCTATTGAGCATTATAATTGAATTGAAAGCTCGAATTTAGATCAGAAATTTACGGTTTTGTGAATAACACAATTTTTTTTAGGTTTTTCGCCATTTCTTGGATTTAAATGAAATAGGGCACTATTGTTTGATAAAATCAAAGGGTTCCTACTCCTGATAGTGTTATTGATCATAAATTATACACCATTTTCACTTATTTGGGTCGATTACAAGTCAAATTTGGATTTAAAGTCAAGAACAGGTAAGAGCTGTTTTTTTTTCCGCCATTTAAACAATTCCAATCGATTTCTAACAAATAATTTCTTCAGATCATAGGGTTTTGGTTCTTTGTAATGTTATTGACCGTAAATTGTATTTGTAGAATGAACCAATTTTTATCGCTCGATTTTTTAAGAAATGGAGTTGTGGCTACGGTTTTAGAAAAAGAGTTAAAAAAATCAACCAAATTGAAATTTTTAGCCAAATCAGGGCATCATTTTGAATGATTTCATAGGGGTTTTGAGGATAACAATGTTTTTCATACGATTCTTGGTGTTATTTGTGTGATTAACTAAATTTTGGTGATCAATTTTTTAAAAAATCGTGCTTGTTAGTGTTTTTCAATTTTTTTGAAAAATCGTGAAAAATCATGACCAAGTTTTGACTCTCATGAGAAATTAATTTGTATTTTTCAATTTTAATGTTAAATTTTTAATGCAAAAAAATGTATGTTGATACATAAAATGTATGTAACTTATTGATACATATTTTATAATTATATTATCTTGATACATGTACTGGCATTGTGAATGACTATATCATTGTAATATTATTTGTGGCAAGTCTACATGTAATGGCACTGTGGATGACTATATCATTGTACAAAAAATTTTTATTGATACTATATCATTGTAATTTTTTTTTTCTTGATTCAAAGTTTGGCTTATACATACTCCTTTCACCTATAATGTTGCATAAATAAATTTTTTTGTCGATAGAAACTAATTCATGCTTGTCAAAATGAAGATTTGTGACGAATCTACATGTAGTGGCATTGTGAATGACTATATCATTGTAATTTTTTTTTCCTTTATACTATATCATTGTAAATTTATTTATTTATTTCTTGATTCTAGGTTTAGCTAATATAGACTATTTTTATCTATAATGTTATGTTGCATAAATAAAATATTTTTACCAGTAGGAAGTCATTCATGTTTGTAGAAATGAAGATATGTAGCAAGTCTACTTGTAATGGCATTATGAATGACTACATTGTAAATATTTTTTTTATTGATACTATATCATTATAAATACAAGATGAAGAATGATGTCATCTTTCATTTTATTATTAGATCGTATTTTACAAATTGTATGTTTTATTGTAATCCATATATGAAGATATACTTCATCCATGATAATTCTATACTTCTCCTTTTGTGTGATGTAAATTTAATGGTTAGCAGTAGTTCATACAGGAAAAGAACATCTCCATATACATATATTGATGCAAAAAAATGAAAGTTAGTTAATGAAATACCCCTATTTCTTATTGGATTTTTAAAAAACAATATTTATAATAAATTTTAATAATTTTTTTGGATTTTTGTAAAGCTGAATTCTACCAATTCACCGATCCGAATGGACTTTTGGGGTGTCCAATTCGAAACACTAATCCGGTTTTTAAATCACTACTTCTATCCATGTCCTTTTCAGCCTTCTCCAATTTCAATTGAAAATGTGGTTGGAAAAATATTAGAACACGTGTGATGGTAAATATGCACAAAATTGATGTTTGTCTAAAAGCATAACGTTTTGGTTGATGAGTTCAAAAGACCATTCGGAAATTGAAAGCATCAAACAGCATCAAGGAAAAAAAAATGCAACACCGAGCAAACCGTAATAAGTTTCAAACCCATGGCCACTGCAACAGCATGATTCCTCTCCTTACCATACAGATTCGTTGCTTGTGGAGGAATACTGCTAAAAACCAGAAGCCTAGTCTTGGGTATTTCTCCGAGTATATGTTTTCTGTTCTGTCCTAATCTTGGTATGTTTAGCTACCAATAGTTTGGAAAGTCTTATGGTCGAGGCCATCATTGTTCTGTTCTTCGTTTTTCCTTTTGGGAGGAAGCGACACAGCTATCACAATCATTATAATAAACCCGGCCCTGTCTGGGCCGCACCTATTTAAAAGCAATAAAATAAAAATAAAAGCAATAAAATAAAATAAAATAAGGGGGAAATACTCAGCCCAGGCCCTAGTTTTTAGGGCCAGGCCAACAGGGCTGGGGCGCTCAGCCCATTGCCAGCCCTATAATATTTATGTTGCAGGAGTTTGCATTGTGACTATTGCTGTATCCGTAAGTTGTCACAAAAATTAGCAGCAATTATTGTATGTTATTGTGTTCTGAATGGCTAGTCCAGGCACAGACAAAGATCAAACTGTCAAGGTAGATCTAGATCATCGGAAACATCAAGTCCATGAAACATCATACGTTGTCCATGTATGGCTCTGGGTGAAGAAAATAGCATGGCTTCAAAAGTGACAGGAGCAGCACTATCACTATGTTACTATCATAATATGATTTTAAGATTATAATATAATTTTCTCTCTGAAGAAAAACTGAATATCAACAGGGCAAGATGCAATTCAAAGAACACATTTGAAACATTACATGGCAGATACAAGGCCTTCTCTCCGAAACCCAAATATTATTCAAAACAAGCTTAGGCACAACATGAAGCACAAAAAAGAATACGAATCCCTGCAGAGTCGTGTACATAAACAAGTTTCTGAGCAATGTACAGGTACAAACTCACCTACATAGAAAGTCCAATATTATTTCCCAAAGCAGCACCAAATCTGAAACCCCCAAAACAAAAAAACTATCAGTGAGTTAATTATATAGGACTCTTCCAGAAACATCAGATGTGGTAGTAGGTATTGAATTACTCACTGATGGTTTGTGAGTGTCGTCCTGATCATTATAATTGGACTGATTAGCAGGCATGGACGGAACCTTTCCTCCTGTATGTTTCTCCTTCCTCACTATGTTGAAGATTTGAGTGAAGTTATCAGCAGATGCAGGGTCGCTCTCATCCCACTCCCCAAACTTTGGCACTGCTGTGCCTTTATCAGGCTGCCATGCAACTGCAACATTAAAAACAAAAAAAAAACCGAATTTATTCTAAATGAGGAAGCGTACCATAGTCCAATGGACTATGGTCTATGTTATTCCGAGCTGCATCCACCAGCAGTTCCCAATGACTCATGGTTGGAGAGCAACACTACTCAGGTAAACATCCTTGTAGGTTCAATAACAGTTGAATTTCCGAATATCCATCACTGGAAAGCTAGGTGGATCTAGCCTTGGAGCATCATAACCCATAATCCATTAGAACATGGAATACCTCCCCGTCTCACAACTAAACCGCAAGGGGTTTTAAACTATGATACATGTAGCCTACAAAAAAGAGTGTGCTATATCTATCCTTAACTGCCCATTACTGACAACTGAGAGTTGGGATGAACTCGCTAGTGAAATAATCTTTCATATCAGCCATGTGCTGTTGAAGACAGTTAGGAATGCATAGAACACACAACATGTACCATAGTATACTTCCTAAAAGTAAAATCCAGTATGATGTCATTTTATCTCACAGTTTCGTCACCAAAATTGCTCCCTCTCAGTCTCAAGCGCCCTGGTGTTGCAGACCCTTCTGTCGAGCCCTTCCTCTCCCATGATGGTGATGATACACCACCCTTGTTCCCAACCCTAGCTGCATAATGCGGATGCATGGGTGACTGTTCAGTGCTTCTCTCTGGACCACCATTCTCACGTCCCCCTTTCCTATTCAAGTCCCCGGCACCACGCATGCCTTGCCTGTGAAGTGGGGAAGACTCCACTGGGGGGGTTCGACGATTGTTTTCGTACCGAGCGGGTGATTCCATGTGGCGTCGAGGGTCACCACCATCTTCCCTGCTTGGACGTCGATCATGGTGGGCCTGCATGTTCAGGACCTCAGGCTCAGGGATTCGAGGAGCTGGGGGAGGGGCCACATCCATAAAGGCATCTGGATTCTCCTGAGGATCATTTGGGTTTATCATCCTTCCTCCTACAACTTTGTCTTTGCGTGCTTTCTCGAAATAGGCAGTGTAGGGGACGCTCTCCCCACTCTCCCAGGTACCAAATATCGGGACATGGGAACGGTTCTGTACAAGTTCGAGACAAGGAAACTTTAATTGTCAAAACTATTGCAAGGTCTCAGCTGGGTGCTGCTAAAAATTATTATGAACTTTTTTCTTACACATTAAGAATAAATAATAAACTTCCATGGCACTAAGGGGCAATACAACCATAAAAAGACATCATTTTTAGATTTTATGTAGGGGATGCTCTCCCGCTCTTTCAGGTCCCAAATTTAGGGACATGGGAACGGTTCTGTACAAGTTCGAGACAAAAAATTTTGATTGTCAAAACTACTGCAAGGTCTCAGATGGGTGCTGCTAAAAATTAGTATGAACATTTTTCTTATAGGTTAAGAATAATAAAAAATTTTCATAGCAACGTGGGGTGATATGATCATAAAAATATATCACTTTTACATTTTATGCAGATACCCATTGGAATAAGTAGAGATCATAGATGGGAAGTACCAATCTCTGATATTTTGTTGATGGTCGGGCTGAAGTTTAGATTCCTGAGTTGGAGAGCAAAAGTTCTGCAAATAGTTGTTTAGTTCTTTACATCATTTTCATCATCCAGGTTTGTTGTAGAGGCTTAGATGGGGGGCCTAATGGATGTATAAGCTACCACAATTTTGTGGGTGCCCCAGATATACCTGGACCCACTAGTCCTCTGTCAATCAGAAAGCATAATATTGAATTGATGGTATCTTTTTAGTTTCTAGGTGGATTATCTATAAAATTGATAAGATTTATTTATTTAAAAGTTGTCCTCATTCTCATAATAGATTTATAGTCGTGCAAAGATGGAATATAGAGTCCTATGTTTTGTAGATATCTGCTGAATTGCTGACTAACTTGGCTCACAGTTTATTAGCAGATGACCAGCCCCATAAACTTTTATAAACTGAGGGCTATCAAGTTTGAGAACCATGTAGACATAGATCTAGATCATAACAATCTAATACTCTATCCCATCATACTAAAAGGTCCACTATGTGAAAGGCTTTTTCAAATGTATATTTCAAGGCACAGCTAGATATATTTAAGGATCATTCATATCCCCAAATAAGTTTCTTTGTTTTACTAAGACTAAATACTAATTGATTCCTAAGAAAATTAACTTATCGATTCTTAAGACAATACATATGCCATGTATTTATTCTACAACATAAAAGTGATACAACTAATAGGAGTGGCAACACAAGGATGTAGATCTAGTGCCATAAGTCTTGGAAAATCATTCGTAATGGTATGAAATCATTGATTTTCTTAGCATTGTCACTCGTATATTTAACGAGATGGCCAGCAGGTTCACATTTTTCAAAGATGTGTTCAGGACATTTGTGTTTCTCGATGGTACCACTAACTCTCATCCCAAACATCTGATCAGGCTAATGAATCACTCACCACTAATGAAGACCTATAGAGATAAGTGAGGGATGTACTTTGATGCCTATTAATAATTAATAAGCCTCTTTTTCTGCCACAGCAGTAATATCCATATGGTCTAGCAAAGGCCTCAGAATCCAATCTTCGTCATACCTAAAGATGTCATCATGGTACAGGGGCCATGAGGTCCATGGAAGCTAGTAGATTACAAGTTTCAAGGTAATCTTCTGCAGTTTGCTATAATCAAACCCAGGCCTCTATCTCATATTTCCTTCGAAATGTGCCCACTCTCCAGTTTTTTACCAAGTCTTGTGCCCTGGAATTCTTGCAAAACTAACACCTAAGAAGTGATGGAAGGCCTAATTTGATGAACCACTACGATCATGGACAAAGCAAATATAATTCACGGGGATATTAGAAAAGCGGGCATTTGTGGGACAAATACTTGTTTTCCCGTGGCAGCAATCATCCCTCATAAATTTCCATTACAAAGTTCCACAATCTCCTCGTAGGCTTACCTGCCCACAAGGAAAACTCAAAGAGCAGCCGCACACAGGCCTCCTTACTACAGTCAGTTTTTGTCTACATTAACCCCATTACCAGATCAACCAGGGTATTATTAACAGAACCTCGTGGAAATGGAGAACCATTCACACATTTTAGGTCAGATATGTGGAAGCATTGTAGAACACCAAGGTATTATTACCAACTGGGAACGGGAAAATCAAGGTTTTTGAACCCGGGCGAGTCGACTCAGCCTCAGCCTCAGCTGAGCACCTCGGCCTCGCCCTACTGCCGAGGCCGAGTAGCTCGAGCCCTTGGTTCACAAGTGTTTTAGGCATAGGGGGAACAGGAATCGCTGAAAACATAGAAGAATCAGTTAAAAAAACGTGAAAATCGCCCGCGTTTTCGTATTTGGCGGACAAAACTCGTTTTCTATAATATGGAAACTATTGTAAACTGAAAATCTTAAATTCATGAGTGATTTTGATCGATTTTTGGAATCTTTCCATGTTTTTATTAGCAATATTATGCTTATGATAAGATTTGGGTTCATCAAAACCCAATCGAACAACAATTATCACGAAATTACCAGGTTTTTAGGGTTCTTCGTTCATCAAAAAAAAAATCCGTCAATCTCTTCTGTTCTTTCTCATTTATCCACGAAATTGATTGATTATGGGTTCACTTTCAATCTAATGAAGTTATCGACAAAAGCCCTCTACTGAGTCTCGTTTTTATCAAGTTTAATCACCTTAAATTTTCAGTTTAAGGGTTCTATCCGCGATTTTTTTTTTTTCTGCCAAACCTCATTGTTCTTGATGATTTCTACACCAAATCAGAAGATTTTTGGCTTGTTTTGAAGATTTTGAAATCAGCTTTAAGAGCCCTATATAAATTAGTGGTTTTCTTTTGCCATTTTCGACTGATTTCGTGCATCAAAGAGCTAACATCGTTAGTCTGTGAAAAATCCGCCAATTTTATTATTTCTCTCTAATTACTCCAGAGTTTTTTTATGATTTTTAGTTTATTTTGAAGCTTTTAAAATCATCTTCAAAAGCCCTATATAGATTTGTGGTTTTTTTTATCCAATATTGACTGAATTTGTGCATCATAGAGCTAATATCAATCAACAATCAAAAAATTGTAAAATCTAATAGTTTTATCTAATTTATCAACAATAAAGTTCTGATTATTATTATTTTTTTAAGATATTGAAATAACTTGAAAACCCCTATATTGCTTTGTGTTGTTTTCAGCGTTCGCAAAATTGAACCGGAACGCTTAACCAGACATGGGCCCGGAAGCGGTTTAACCAGCCTAACCGGTAAACCGGCCGATTTAACTGTTCTAACTGGGCAAGTCTTGGGTGGTAAAAAAAGTGTTGAAAAAAAAAACAGAAACAAAAAAAAAAAAAAGTCTACTAAAATATGAAAAGCCTATAAAAAATGATTAAAAAAAAACACATTCAAATAAAGCTGAAAATTAATGAAAAAAATGGATTTTAACGAATCGATTTTTGAATTAAAGTGAGTATTAATGGCCAAAACAATTTTTAATCTTTAACATAATGTAAAAAATATTAAAAAATACATTACAAACCAAATTCCTTATTTTTGAGAATTTATATATATTTTTTTGAATTTTTTCTTTTTAATACCGGTCGATCACCAAAACCGCCCAAAACCAGAACCGGCCACCGGGCGATTAGCGGTTAGATCACCAGGTTTTCCCAACAATGGATTTTTGCTTCAATAACGATTGATTTATTACATCATAGAGGTAATATCATAGTCATATTTAATTAATTCCAAAAATAAATGTCACTTTTGCTAGATTGCACGTGCATTTTTATCTCTTTTGGGGTTTTCAAATATGTAAGATTTTTTTTTTTTTAAGCGTTATAAAAAAAGAGCTCCAAAAAAAGTAGTAATTATGAAAAAATGAGAGGTCATTTTTTTAGAATTCACGAGATGTAAGAAATTTTTTTCTTAAAGAGTTAAGATAAAAAGAGTTCCAAAGAAAAAATGTAAAATGTAGCCCCCAATCGAACTCAATACCTCTTATAGACTCGGGCAATATAATTTTTTTTAAGAGAGTTATAGAAAAAAGCTCCAAAATAATCCAAGCCATTAAGAAATATAGAGTTAAATATTTTTAATAGAGTTATGAAAAATAACCGTTGTAACGATGGTTAGTCTTTATTTGCTCTAAAAAAGAAATAACCATTAGTAACAACGGGCAAGATTGGATCCCACGACATTCCAAAGGGTGGGTAGAAGACAAGGGACAACACGCTACCACAAAGGCAGCACACAATTAGTGATTAAAATCAGCTGCTCGCTTTATATATACACTTACTGTGCATGATTTTTTATTAAAAAAAGAAAAAAGCTTGACTCGGCTGAGTACATCACCTCGGCCAGGGCCCAAGTACTTTGGCCTAGTCGATGTTTTGAACCTTGGGGAAAATCATCAGCCCATCCCATTCCGTCGACTTACATATTTCAAGAATTCCAAAAACTATGCACTCTATTTAAGGAGAAAAGGAAATGATTCCAATATGTGAGTGCAACTGAAGGGGAAAAATAAGATTTCCATTTCGAACCTCAAATGGCACAAAAAAAGTTCCAAAGAGGTTTCGTACACCATAACAAAAGAAAAAAAAATAAAAAATCGAAGGACACACAAGTTTGTACTGCTTTCCTATTCATCATCATCATGTGAGTCTTATCCCAACTATTTGGGGTCGGCTAACTGCTTTCCTATTGATAGTGTCAATTGAAAAATGCAAATGTATGTTTCTTATTCAGCTATGAGGACCATCTGCTCAATGAGAAAGCCAATGATCGAAAAATTTGCCTACAAGAATCTCCTAACTAATGGAATACTTCTACTCCACATTCACAATGTTTGCAAGTGTCTACGACAAGTTTTTAATGCAAATTTCAAGAGCCAAACAAAACAAATCGCCTGAAAACCTGAAGGCATACTGAGTAAAACAATTGAACACGAAATTGATAGAAATAAAATAAGAATAAAAAATAAGGAATAATCAGAAGGTAAAGGAATATAAGAAAAAGATAAAAAAGGATGAGAATAACAGAATTGAAGGAGGATAAATAATAAAGAAG